TTCAGTAGACAATGTGTTAATCTACAAGGTGTTTGATGCTACTGGAAGTTGAATTTGAATATTTAACTTCTGAATAAGGAAAACAAGAAAATGCTTATTGGAGTGGGCTCATTCTGCCCCCTTTAGCATTAGTTGATTCCAGTGGATTTTAGCTGTCTGCAAAATACATGTTTATGGTGAATGATCCAAAAAACAAAAAAACCCTATGACCTGATCATTTTGGGTATGAGTAATGAAGTTGGTCCCCACTTAGTATGCCTCTATATACAGCAAAACCTTTCCATATCATCCTCATTATGACCTGGGACTATGGTTTTTCAGATTTCCATGACCCAGTTGTGAAACAGTAGTACCCAGTTTATATTTAATTAAAATCATACAAGATTAGATGGATTTAAATATATATTTTTCTTACCTTTAACTTTGGTGCAGCCGAGAAAGGTTTGGAGAAATGCATGCAAGGTTGTGGTGGGAACAGAACCGAGCTAGGATACAGGAACAGTATTTGTGATTTAGCACATCTATGGATTGGTGGAGCTGGGAAATCTTCTCCTTTTAACATGTGTATGTACCCGATCGCAGTACAGTTTCATCACAGAGTTTACTTACATTGACACTGATTCGGATTCTCAGGGTTAATTAAGCTACGTTTGGTTAGATAAGTTGTTGGTTGTGGTAAATTGATGGTGCAGAAATTACTGGACGTGTTAATTATGATAATAATAGTTGAATTTTACTTGAGCTATTCCTTTTCGTCTGACTCGCATAAACTGCAAATCACAGTATATCTTTGCCGGGTGTTGATGAAATCGCGGTTTGGATATGGATATCAGACGGGTCTATCTTATTATGATCAGATATTAAGTGAGTACTGGAAACAATAATTCTGTCAAATGACTTCTTCTGAATTATTTCAACAGGAAAATCTCATTTGAGGTAGATCATTGTTTCCTTTAGACTCATTTTAATTTAAAAATGATTTATTCAGTTAACTTAATTTATTAAAATAAATAACTTTTTAGTATGAATGAAAATTATTTTTACTATTTTATCAAAAAAAAGAAAAAAAAAACTTATACTAAAAAAATATAACTTGGTGATTAAAATGATAAATTATTTAAAATTTTATATGATCTTGATATTTAAGTTATTAAATTTAAATATCTTAATTAATACAATGTGTTTGATGATGAAGGATTGAGATGAGATTGAGCAAGTTTATTTTAGGAAATAAATTGAAAGTTATTTTGGAAAATAAAAAATCTCTAGTTTCATATTAATAATTAAATTACAATAATATCTAATGATCTACAATTAAATATGAGATAAATCAGAAAACAAAAAACTGTTACATGCCAGTAAATTCAAATGACTGTTGTCATGATTGACCGACCATTCGAATGATGATAAGATAATTAGATCAAGTTATATAATTAATTAATTATGAAAATATTATATGATATGTTTGAGATAATTTTTATAAAATATGTTTTGAAAGTATATAGTTTAATTTAATTGCAAAAGAATATATTTATATTTTTAAATATATGAAAAAAGTGATGATACGGTGGTCGCAGGGGCAAAACAGTAAATGTGGAGGGTCTCAATTAGGATTTCTCTCCAGTCCTTCGTGGGTAAAAATGTTTTCAAAACCCTCGCTCCCAAACCCCCTCTCTTGTTAAGCCGTTTCGTTTCTTTCATCTCTGAATGCCAACCCTAGCTCTGTTTCTCTAGGGTTTGACAGCTACCAGTAACTATATACAAATACAATTTGTCTCTTATATTTTTATAAATTGTGCGGATTGTTGGTATTGGTCTTATTTTTGTTGTCACTTCTTTAGTTTCGGACAGTCTGGTAGGCGGACCAGAAGTCAATTATTTGAGATGGTGACTGGGTCGAGAATCGAAGGGGGGAATCAGGTACTTACCGATCGAGTGAGGAAGACGATCCAATCGATAAAGGAGATAGTGGGCAATCACTCTGATGCTGATATTTATATTGCCCTGAAAGAGGCCAACATGGACCCAAATGAGACCACCCAGAAATTGCTCAACCAAGGTCGCTATCGTTCCGTTGCTTCTCTTTTTTCCTTTTTTTCTCCTTTTCATTCAAGTTCAAAGTATATTTGCTTTGTTGGGTATTTCTGCGTGGTTTTCTTTCTTGCATTCCGGATTGTTTTTAGGGGCGTCTGTTCTCAATGGTTTTCCTGTAGCTATTTTGTTGCCTTTCGTGTTCCATTATGTAATGGGTTATTTGCTCTTACGATTTTTGTAGTTGAGATTGAAAACTTAATTTGTTTAGTCGCACAGTTCAACTTTCTCTGAATTAAGTCGTCCTTCAGTATTTTCGAGTTCGTTAACAGTTGTTTGCTCTTTTAATTTGTGCTTCTTCTTTTATTTCCAAAAAAATATTGTGCTTCTACTTGCTGCTATGCAATGTGCAATGGTGATTATCGGTGCCTAGTTTGGTGGTTGTTTGTAGGTCTGTCTTTCGAGAGGTTTAGTTAAACGTGTGATTACATGGCCTAGTGCACTAATTGACTAATATTCCAGTGTTTTGGTGTTTGCATATGTGAATTGGTATTCGTCATTGGCTCGAAAATTTAAAATTGACTTCTAAAATTGGTTTAATGTTCGTGTTGTCCCTTGTGCTGCTTGTCCATTTTTGTATGCTGGAACTGATGCTATTTTCTTGCTAATGAGTTTTGAAGTTTGAATTTCCAAGTGCAGCTAAAGTCTGCCTATTGGCATTTAGCCAGTTTTTCAAATTTACCTTTGATTATGTGCCTATTGTTTGATGATGTTTCTGTCATCTTTTGTTGACTCGTGCATTAGTTTATGAAATAGATAGCTGGTAATCATTCCATATAATATGTTCATATAGGATACAGTTTGTAATGTCACTTGTAATATTCATAGATGTTAAGCTTAGAGAAAGAAGCATCAAGGAAACTAAACAACTCTTAATATGTTTGTGAGAGACAATAATCCTAACAAAATCACCCTGCAGTTGTAGTAAGCAAGTCTTATGAAACCATTATTTACTGAATTCAAATTGGCATCAGTGAAGGAATCTAATAAAAATTAAATATTTAAGATCCTTCTTTAGGAGTATGACACCATTGACAAAAGTGAGCTACCTTGTTTCATGTGGACATTTTTCTATGGTAGGATTTAAGGAACAGGGACAATAGGTTTTATAGTATTGATTCTCTATTTTTATTTTTTCTTCGATTCTTTTTGCAATTTTCCCTTCCCAACAATGGAAGATCGCATTTATGGTTAGTCACCCGTTTAATCTTGCAATATGATATTTTTGTGGAGGACATCTTAGATTTGTTTCAGTTTTTTTTTTTAAATTTTTTTCCTTCTAAAGATACATATTGACAATCAGATACAAAATGCCACCCACATTTGTTTCTTGTGGCTCACTAAGTAAGTACCATTAAAAATAACTGACCTAGTTTGTTCTTTTCTTTTTCTCCTTTGTCTAGTTCTCTGAGATGGCTGTGGCAGGTTTTGGTGAACCTTTAGAGGGTCTGGCTGGAGTTGTGATTGGTTAGGGGTGTGGAGATGTGGAATCTTTATGCCATCTGACAGCGCTATGACCTTTTCATCCCTCTTAATTGTTTGAAAGTGGGTGATGGTTCCTGTATATTGTTTTAGGAAGATTGATAAGTTGGTGCTCTCCTACTTGCTCATGTTCTCCTTCGCCTTTACAGCCTTTCTCTGTGTCATAATGTTCCTATCTGTCAGTTTCTATATCAAATGGATGATCACATATCTTGGAATTTACTCTTATTCAAGAAACTTGGTGACTGAGAATCTGATGATATGATCTCTTTGCTTAATAACCTTGAGCCTTTAATTGTCTCCTCCACATCTCGATAGCAAGATGTGGACCTTGGAATTTGAATCGTTCTAATTTGCACACTAGGTGTTTTTTTGGAGGCTGAATATCCCTTTAAGATTAATGTTTTCTTTGGATTGTTGATCTAAAGTTTCAACACCTAATTATTTGCTGCAAACTTGTGAAACCAATGATGCCCTCTCCTTTGATGTGTCTATCCTCTACTTCAAGGTGGTTGAGTCTCATAGTCATCTTTTTCTGAACTGTGAGGTGGCTTAATTTTGGCCTAGGTTTTGGTCTAGTGTTTTTTCTTTTTTTTTTTTGGGGCGGGGGGCGGGGGGGTTGGTGGTAAGTAATTTTGGCTTCATATGCGTTGTCCCCCCTTTCCTTGAGTGTTTCATCTCTCTCTATGTTCCTTAAGAGAGGTAGAGAAAAGAAGGAAGCTGGGGTACTTCAGAGAGGAGCTAGCTTTGCTGGTTTATGGATGTTGTTCAAGTATACGGGTAAACTCTCCAAGGATTGTTACTTCCATTAATCTTTCTTATGTGGCAAAATGGTTTCTTTAGGGATGTCTCCATGGCTATTTTGCGAAGCGACTGGGAACCCCTCATGTTTTTTTCGTTTCCTATTCTTCTTGTTGTCGTACGAGAATTTTTTATTGTCCCTTTGTTCTACCTCTGTTCTTTCTGATAATATGTATTTTCTTATGAAAGAGTTGAAGATCTTTTGTGATTATTTTCTTTTTCACTTATGGAATGGTTTTTGATTCAGTAGTAGTCTTTTTTTAGTAATACTTGATGTATGTTTATTGATTGAAAAAGTTTCTCTCTTATGCTTGTTCCTAATATCCTTCTCAGATCCATTCCATGAAGTAAAGAGGAGAAGGGACAGGAAGAAAGAGGTAAAAATTCTTTTATTCATCATTGCCTGATCCATAGTTATTTGCCTTTGCTGCTCTGTTTTTTGGTTATAGATTCTGTTGTTATTATTAGCATCCTTTTCTATCATAGTTGTGTAAATTCATTGTTTCTTAGAATCATGGTAACTTGTAATGCTTTTTGAAGCATTAATAAGTTATTCCACTTCAATTTGATAGGGCCATCATTTTGTCTTTATTATGCTGTTGGTTAATGTTGGAGATGGCTTGTTTTTTTGCATTTGGTGTCTCATACGATGACAATGGTTGTTGCAATCTCGAAATTTATGATTTTTAGACTTTTACAATGTTTTAAAAGTGGCATCTTGTTGTATTTTCATCTAATTTTTACTTGGATCAATTCAATATCTCAGAATATTATACAATTAGGCCCTTTCTGTTCTTATTAATGTGTTTGCTTTTTATTTGGAAGATGCAAGGATCTATATGAAAGGGGCCAGTCAATAAACTAAATGATAATAGTCATGTGCTCTTGCTTCCAAATGTCGTTTTATGGTTTGTTATTTGAGAAAAACATTGGATGTATTCTCACTGTCATTCTCTGACCATTGGCCCTGGAGCTTTGGTTTGTTTTCAAGTCCATTAATTTGTAAGTTAGAACTATATTATTTAACCTTGGTACTGGATGCATATTCTCTTCACTGCAGAATGTTGTATACAAGGATTCAGTAGATCGAAAAATACACTATGAGAGTGCTGGTCAAGGTACGAGATTTCGTGCATTTCCTGATCGTAATGTTCGAAGAGGAGTCTATGCTCGGAATGCAGTATCTGGTAAGTCGATGTGGTATTTATAAGGGTACATGTATGTTTGTATCTTTCTGCTAGACTATAATGGCTTTTAATTTAGCAGAATGCTATCAGTTATTGAATGCGTTAAGAATGCGAAGTGCATTATTTTACCAGGTTTTTTTACTTCTGGTAGTTTAAATTATTTTCTTTACATCTTTTCTATAAGAGAGAGATTCTTTGCACCCTTATAAAATTGGATTTGTGTATTTTAAGTGACATTCAACACGCACTATCCTTTAATATTGAATTTTTTAGAATCATTCATAATAAAAGAGTTGCAGTAGTCTCAATTTAATTTTATGTTTCAACATCATATGATACTTTTCAAATTCAAATTTAATTTTAGTGGTAAAAGCCATGTTTCCTCAATGACTATCATCTCTTTTATCTCTTTTTTTTGGTATTTTTCCTTGAGTATAAAAACTCTTATGCATGAAGGTTCCTGTTATGCAACCATTATTTACTTGGAGGATTTGATACCGAAGTATTACTCTATTAACCTTTGAACAATCTGGGCTGTTTTTGGAGTTGCAAAAGAACTTGAAATATCTCTATATGTTTTGTTTTATTCCTGTTCCTGAATCCTTCAGTATTTTCCATATCATAGTTCTTCAGCTGACACTGGTTACTTAAATATACGATCAATTCTATGCCTTTGTTGATTTAGTATAATGATCTCTACTGCTTGGTGATATTAACTTTGATGTAATTTCTATGGTTTCTAAAATTGAAAGTTCTTTACTAGTGCAGGAACCAACAGAGAGTTCCGAGTTGTACGGGACAACAGAGCTAACAGTACAAATAGAGAAATAAACTCTTCTTCCCCTCAGTACTCAGCATCGGATAACGAGCAAGTGCTTGCAAATGTTGCGGAAAGAGGGTATGTGGGTATTGAGTTCCATTGATTTTCTTCGAAAGACTCATTTGATTCTGTTGTTATACCTTCATGTAATTTTGTGCTCAACTGGTTTTGAACCTGAAGTCTGAACACTGTCCTTCATGCCTGCAAGTAGTAATGATTGTTCTCTTCATGGTCGTCGTACATACTAATACTTCATGCCTGCATGTTTTTCTTTGCGTGGTTCTCTATTGTCTGACTAATTTTAGTTTGGGATGTTAGAAATATTTTATGCCAAACAAAGAAAGCAGGATAAAGATAATAGTCTTTCACCTTAGGCATGGGGTTCTTTTCAAAATCTGTGGGTTTCTTTCTATATTCAGTGCTTGTTGACACTAAGATGAAAAATGCTCATTTACTGTTTTTGCCTCGTTATTTCTGCTTTGGCATGGCTTATTATAGTTTATTGCTGTCAGTTTCATAGTACTATTTTTCCTCTTGGTATTTTAGATTTTAAGACAACCTTGTTCTCTGCAAACAACATATTCAATCTGATCATTGTCCTTGGGTTTGTCAGTCAAACAGAAACTTCAGGCACTCAAAAAACTTCTGGTGCAGAAAGTTCATTTTGTGCTTCTAATGGAACGTCAGAGTTGCAGCCTAGGCAGGCAGAAGATGCACAATTAAGCAGCATTGGTAGGAATGAAGTATTGGAGGAAAAGCAGACTGTTATTTCTAAGACAGTTGCAAGGGTTGAACCTGTAAAGCCCAACAATTCTGGAGCACATCCTGCAAAATCTGTCTCGAACAATTCTGTCATTGGTGTTTATTCCTCCTCTACAGATCCTGTTCATGTTCCATCTCCTGATTCAAGATCATCCTCCACCGTTGGGGCTATTAAGCGTGAAGTTGGGGTCGTTGGAGGTCGCCGGTTATCATTGGAAAATCCCGTCAAAGATTCATCCGTCCAAAGTGGGTCTTTCTCAAATTCTCTTTTGGGAAGAGATTCTTCGGAATCATTTCAACCTTTCTCTGCAATTTCTAAGACTGACCAGCTCAGCCAAACTACAGTAACTGAATCAGTCATACCCACCAGCTCTGTGAGCAGGTCTTTCTTAAGCAATCCGTATGGTAGCAGGATACATCAGCAAGTTGGAGGTCATCAAAAAGGTATACATCTAAATCACGAATGTTGGGATATTTTATAACCAACGTCATTTTTAGTTTTATTTTTCTTTAGTGGTGGAGCAATTGTTGATATATCTTCCCTTAGTTGCTTCCTTTTTGTTGCATATTTATCTGATATTGCTGACAATGTTAGATATAATTCGTTACTCCAACTAAATTATGTTAGTCAATTAACATAAGGTGTCAGAAAACCATCTTTTGCAGGGTATCCTGTAACCTCAATTACAAGTTATGACTCCTTTTTAAGGTTCTATAGTGTCTCTCTAATGCAACATCACAGCAAATAATTTTCTTTCAAAATATTTTATCATCCAAGATTGCACATAAAATGTCAGTTACCTTTTAGTTCCTTCAGTTCTGACTGATTAATGAAAACAAAAATTGCCAGACAAATCAATATTTATCTTTTACAGACACGACCTCAAGCATGAAAGTACAGGGCTTTCATGAATGGCTGTGCCTGTCATCTTATCTATTGGTTCTCCTAATAATAGTGAATAAAGGACCTAATAATATCTTAGATTGTTGTCTTATCAGCATCTTGAATTTCTTCTGTCAATCTGCCCCACAAGTTGCCTATTTTTCACGTTTGTATTGCCTGTTTAGTTAATGCAATTGCTTCTTTTAATTGCTTTATGGAACAGAACTTAATGCTTAGGTTGCCCAGCTACAAATTCTTCATGAACGTTAGGTGGTCCACAAGGATTTTGAAATTCTCCATGAGAAAAAATAAATACTCTCCATGCATCAAGGAGGTTGGGGTGCAAAAAGAATTATTATTCACATGCCACAAAGGTGTTGCTGCCTGGTTTCAGACATCAACTGACCTGTGAACCATAGGTTAAGCGTTTGGAACCTATTATTGCTAACCATATTTAGAGGAGAAATCGAATCCTCAAAAGCTCTTCAGTAATCAAAAGTACATTGAGGGAGATAAGACTTCATTTTCTATGCTCATTTATTCAGAAAAAAATTGGTAGTTGAAAATGAAAACAGTTTCTGTAGAAGTAGAATTTGGCTTGACTAGTGGCCATGTCTAAATATGTTCGTGAAGGGTTCTACTCGCCTCGGTCAAAGTAATTTCGAGTTTGGTCGGCTTCGTATTTGAGCCTGGATTCGAGTCTCAAAAAGTTTTGATAGCTAAATGAGCTGACTTTGAGCATGAAAGGTTCAGAAGCTCACAGTTGTTTTTGATATGATTATATTCCGATTCTAAAAATAACATAAAAATTTTAATAATATAAGGTACATAGGATGTCAAAAAAGCTCTATCAAATTTTACCAAATTCAACTTTATATAGTTTGAACTTATTCGAGTTTGAGTTTGAGCTCAGTCAGGCTCCGCATTCATTGAATTTTTTTAACTGAGTTCGAGCTCTATGTTCTCGAGCCTTAATTTATTAAAATCAAGCTTCAAGCTGATTCAAATTTGAGATATTTAAATAATCAAACTTCAAATTCTAGGACTTTGACTCAGTTCGGCTTGTTGCCATCCAGGCTCTGAGTAGCTGATTTTAAAAATAATAAATGGTTATTTTGTATTTCTTTAACATATTGTTAATTTTTACTTAACAAGCACATTCTGACACACTAGGCTAGTGACATTGATTACCTGGTTGTCCAAGGCATAATACTACCCGAATCAGTGAGTAACCTGGGTTTGAAGTTCATATTGGAAATGCTTGATAAAATGTTGGCTGTTTTCCAATTTGCCATTATTTTTTCCTTGGGGCTGTTCTCTGAACAGTTGTTGGTTTCTGGAGTTTTTAATCGATCCATCTGTATTAACAGAGAAGACTTAGAATTACTGGACTTCTATCTTGGCACTTCTTTTCTTCAATCTTATTCTTGTGTTAGAGTTGACCAATGAACTTTTTATGCAGCTCAACAGCATAACAAAGAGTGGAAACCAAAATCCAATCAAAAGTCTAGTGTTAATGGTCCTGGGGTAATTGGCACACCTAAAAAGTCTGCTTCTCCTCATGCTGATACTTGTAAAGATTCGGAATCAGAAGCCAGTAAATTGCAAGATAAGCTTTCTCGAGTAAACATCAGTGAAAATCAGAATGTCATCATTGCGCAGCATATTCGTGTCCCTGAGATTGACCGGTGTAGACTGACTTTTGGCAGCTTTGGTCTAGAGTTTGATTCCTCAAGGACCTTGGTATCTGGATTTCAAGAAGTTGGCATAACAGTAGATGCAAATGGGGATTCTGCAGCAAGGTAGGATCTTCTAGGGGGTTATTGTTTGCAGATAGCAGTAATAGCAAAGCTTGACATCTTATTTTATAAAAAAAATAATGAGAACATCCTAGTATATATTTGAAAAAAATTGTTTAGTTTGCAACAACTATAATTTCAATGAAGGATCTAACCAAATTCATTAAAAATATCGTGTGCATGTTTTAGTTGAACATGTATACAGTATTTGACTATGCATAGCAGGCGATATTTCTTCTAAAAATAAGATGTTAATTTGGTGGCAGTTTGTCAGTATCGGCTCCGGCAACTTCATGTGATGATTCTTCAGGCAGTAAGCCTGCAGATATTCTAGATGATCAAGTTAGAAACGGCGAATCTGATTCTCCATCATCAGTTTCTGCTCCTGAGCAACAGTTGCCTGATAAAAAGGAGTCTTCTAATCCTCAAAGTTTGGAAAACTATGCAGATATTGGCTTGGTTCAAGACAACAGTCCATCTTATGCTCCAGCAGAATCACGACAATCACAAGATCCTCCTGAATTACAAAGTTTTTCGGTGAGTTTGGTTTTCAGATTTAAGAAAAGCTTTGAATTTTTTACAGTTTTCTTTAATCTCTGGCCTGTATAAGGGAGTGCCTCTTTTGTTTGTATAGCATTAAGATGTATTTTATAAAAAACACGAAGACATTGTTGTGAACTAAATTGTGATAGAATAATCTAAAGGAAACTTTTTTGCTGGTTCTAACATACTCTTCTGCGTTGGTCTCTAGCAGGCATATGATCCCCAGACTGGTTATGATATACCCTATTTCAGACCCGCTATGGATGAAACTGTACGTGGACAAGTACAACCATCTCCATCTCAGGAGGTACGTCATGTCATATGATGGATAAGCTCTTACATTATATTTTAACTTTGGTTCTTATGTGGTTGTGCTCATAAATGACCAGACTGTGGGGCATATCTACAATGGAATTTTAGAGCATTTCTTAAGAAATTATGTGCAAATTGGCTCCAGATTTTTAACTAGCTTGGTCCTTGAAAGGAATCTTTTGTTTGTAATATCAGTTTTCAGTTGGTTTTTGTGGAAGTATCTGTTAAGACTCTTATTCGTATGGGCATTGTAAACCCTGCTTAACTCAGCAGATGGCAGCATTTCTAGATTTTCAGTCCATAAACGGGTGGAAATTTTGTTTATTTTTTCTCTCATGTGTTTACAGGCCTTAAGCTCCCATACAGCCAACGGCACCTCTCCATCCACAGTTGCCATGATCCAGCAACAACCACCAATGGCCCAGATGTTTCCCCAAGTTCATGTGTCCCATTTTGCTAATCTCATGCCATATCGTCAATTCCTCTCCCCAGTTTATGTCCCACAAATGGCCATGCCCGGCTATTCTGGTAACCCAGCCTATCCACATCCATCGAATGGCAGCAGTTACGTGCTGATGCCTGGAGGTAGTTCACATCTCGGTGCAAATGGCCTCAAATATGGGATTCAGCAGTTTAAGCCAGTTCCTGCAGGCAGTCCCACTGGGTTTGGAAATTTTAACAATCCAACTGGCTATGCCATCAATGCCTCTGGTGTGGTTGGGAGTGCAACTGGGCTTGAAGATTCATCTCGAATCAAGTACAAAGATGGGAATCTTTATGTTCCAAATCCCCAGGTCAATGTAACTTATATTAAACAAGCACGAACTTTGATTCATTGCTTGCTGTGACAGCATATATTTGCTTCATATTTTTCTTGAAATTTTTGTCAAATGTTTTTTTGGTACTCATTTGGTAGTTCATGTTTTTTGATTTGTGTTGGATACTTGACTCGGGCTACTTTTGGCAACTTAGAGGTAATTTTTTCTTTGGCAGCTTGGAGGTAATCTGATCTTGCAGGGCAAGACTGTTAGGTTCCTGATGATTAACATGTTGAATTGGTTTCTGCATACTTGAAAAAGTAATTTTGGAAAAAATTCATCTTTATGTGATCCTGCATTTGCATGGTTTGATGTGCCTAGTTGGCTTGCTTTATTCTGTATGAGAATTATTTTGTATATGTTTTTGACCCTATCTTGTCTTTGACGTCAGGCTGAGACTTCAGAAATGTGGATTCAGAACTCAAGGGAGGTTCCAGGATTGCAATCTGCCTCATACTATATTCCTGGGCAAACACCTCATGCTGCTTATTTGCCATCCCACACAGGGCATGCATCATTCAATGCAGCAGCAGCCCAGTCTTCTCACATGCAATTCCCAGGACTATTCCATCATCCTCCCCCTCAGCCAGCTGCGATGGGTAATCCTCATCATTTGGGACCTGCTATAGGTGGTAATGTTGGAGTTGGTGTTGGTCCAGCAGCTCCTGGGGCACAAGTGGGTGCATATCAGCAGCCTCAGTTGGGTCATCTGAACTGGACGACAAATTTCTAGAAGAAAGTGCGAAACTAACCAACCTCCTTTCCATGTAATGGATTGAAGTAGTGATAGAAAAGGGTTTTAGTTTTAATTGTGAAATGGGTAACTCGTAATCTCATCTATTCAAATGCATAAAGCGGTATTCAGTTTTCCATGCTGTATATTTGTTTTGTTAGCTGTCTGAAACTTGGAGCTTTTAATCAAGTGGGTATTGGCGGCATCTGCAGGCAGGCATGCTGGCTGGCAAACTTTTGAAAGGCTCCAATTTTTAGGCATGTAGGTGTGTTGAGGTAAGGATTCTGAAAAGTGTTTTATGGAAGATTAGACGGTATTAGATTAGGTGATGAGCATGTGGTATTGGATGGGTTTGTTTTGTTCCCTTAGGTTTTGTCAGGGTAAAAAAGAGAAAAGGAAGAGCATATTGTGGTGTATGTTTGTCATGTTGTTGATCCTTGTTTTTTTTTTTTTTTCCTTGGGATCGTCAACACTTTGCTTTACATGTTTCAGGTCCCTTGCAGTCTGCTATCCTACATCCCTTCCTGCTTTAGCCATGCCCACCACAAGACTTTCTTTTTATCTTTTCTCCAAAAACAGTAAACTTCTCTCCCTGCCACATCAGATTTCTAGATGAGAGATTTAGTTGTTTGCCACCACAGCAGATAGTATTAGTGATGAGTCGGTGCAGAAGCAAGAGTTTTGATCCGTGATTAATTTGGTAATTTTGGTTCTTATTGTGGAAAATGCCTTCAGAAAGCTAGTTGGTATAATTTTTATTTTCAGAGTGCTTATAAAGTTTTAAAACAGAAATGAATAAACTGTATAGAATGCCATAATTGGTAGTAGTGAGACTTGTAGAAAAGGGAGCTGGTTAGTTGAATGGGAAGTACATTAACACCAACAATGGTCGATAAATAGAATAATTTGGTTAATGTAGTAAAAGAAATTGTGTTTGATGCCTGTCGCAACTAAAAACGAATGTAATTGATACGTGCATGCACTAAACGTGTGTGTGTGTGTGAACCACAAAGCCAATCACAGGAAACAATGAAAGCAAAAAAAAAAAAAAGGATTACTAATTTTGACATGGCTGGGTTTGGTGGTTATCAAACATGGATGATGTGCATTTCTTTGTTAACATCCACTTCATAATGCATATGGTTGTCATTGTCATTATTTATTCCTTGACAACTAGTGCTCCAATTTTGATTTAAGAAAGGCACTTACTTTTGATTTGACCACTTCAAGTTTATTTGTTCCGATGGTAAATTTATCTCGTGTTTCATCAAGTTTATTTTTTTTTTTAATTTTGGAAATTTATTTTGTATAGTATATATTTTTTAAATATCTAATATATAATATATATATATATATATATGTGTGTATATATAATTATGTTGCTCTGGCCCTTGATAGTCACTTCATAATATAGATAAAGGGTTTTAAGAGAATATGCAAAAGGGTATTTTTTTTTTTTTTTTTTCAGTTGTTTATGACTTGCATGTGTGTATAGGCAAGTGAGGAAAATTGCATAATGTGCATGCTCAATTGTGATATGTCAAATCTAATTATGGGGAGTCTACGTACACCCACTAACCCTTTCTTCGATTATCTTCTCTTCTTGCAAATTCTGAGGTTGAATGATGATAAGTGGGAAATCTATTTCATAGGATAGGGGTGGGGGTGAGGGGATAGGGCATGTCAATCAACATTTTTTGGACTACCAATAGAGAATCTCTCTCTTTTTTACAACTTATATACTTGTAGTTAAAAATTACCAATAGAGATGTAATTTCTTTGCATCTATAGATAGAGATGTAAATATGCATCTCCAACTGTATATATGTCTCTAAAATTTGAGTTATGATCCACACAAATACATTAGTGTTTATAAATTTATAGTTACAGTAGTCGTATTTTTGAATATTCAGGAACACATGATAATTATGTGTTCCTAAATAATTGAAAATGTATAGTGATTTTATATCTAATGACATATTATTTAGAATATTATAAAATAATTATTTTAAGTTCTTTACACCGAGTTATTCATAACTATTATGTGTATGTAGACACAAAGATGCACATAAATATTATTATAATAAATAATATATATCCATTCTTACTTGTCCAAATTCAAAGACAGAGAGAATATAAAAAAAATATTTTCATTAACATCATAATATATATAATAATCATGTTAAACATTCATACCAATCTTATAAAATTCAAATAACCATGAACACTCATCACAAAACTATCAAATAAAAGTTAATATCCTTTGTTTTACACATTACGTAAATTACATGAGAATCATATTGATTTAACTATCAACAAATTGTCTCTAGATCTATAAAACCATATGAAACACTTCATGAAACAATTGAATAGTTAACTAACTACTGAGAGAAGGCATGATAATAGCTAATTGATCATACTTAGCTTTAAAATCTTCTAACTCTGATTTCTCACTCATCTCCATTTTAGTGTTTTGATATCTCTATTTTTTCTTTGCTTTTATTGATTCCTTTAACTATAATAATTTTTTACAACGTGTCACAATTGGTCATACTTTTATATTGATGATGTTAGTTAGGAACATATCTCTCAAATATTGATAATGGTCACTTTAATACTATCACACCTAACTCTTTTCTTAATTCTAGAACTACACTTTAGGATCACTTACCTGGGTGTAGTTTTCTTCTCATTCTTTCTTTCTCTTATATGATTTTTCATTATTTTATTTAATCTTTACCTATTATAAGCACATGTTTACCAAGATAGACATAAACCTACCACTTTAAGTCCTTATAAGCTCGACCTATTGATGAAATTCTAATTTTTAACATTCTTGGTTTTGATAGTCAATACAATCAACTACCACCATCTATAATACATCCACCTCTTTAAAGTCATTGAGAGCTTCTCATTTAGGTGTGCCCATAATAAGGAATCCTCATTCAATATAGGTAATATTACAATTGATACAACTACTCAAGGTACCACATTTGAACATTTGAACCATTAAGAAAAATCTAAATATGAATGATATTAGAAAAGAATGAGAAAAAACAATAATCAAGAGTGAGTTTGATATATATATTTATATCATGTACATTACAACATTTTCCGATACTCTCTAATTGATGAATGAAAATTTTATAAAAAGTAACTTATAAACATAGATTAATTAATTTTTTAATAAAACATATGCTAGGTTTTTTTCCCCAATATTTTTAAATTAGACACACTAGTTGTGTTAATCTATTGCTTCTACGCATAATTAACTTCTTTATAATGCTGCAAACACTTTTAATATTGTGCACATGTCTTTCGAGAAGAACCCATTTGAGTTGAAATGTCTATTAAGGTATTGAAAAGAGATTATAGACTTTCAATTCAATCTCCAAACTTGTCTCCTTAACAAGCTACTTAGGTACTAATTTGATAAGAAATAAGACAACCTCCACTTTACCTTTGCGTATATTATTTGTTTATGCAATAATCCTATCTCCTAGACATTTAAAAAGCAATCAATTATTGGAGGCTACATATTAAGCTATTATTTCTACTATTATTAACACCGTAGAATCAAAGTTACTACGTATGTATTGAGTTGCACTTGCCGGCTCTTAAGCTTCCATTTTTTTTTGTGAGAATATAGGTATCATATATATATACCGATGTGACAATAGTTTTTTTGGTATGTCAATGAAGGACCATTTTTTAGACCACTAGCATATTTGATAACAAGTTTAAATTAACTAAGTTCGAGTTCAACACATTTTAAATACTAATCAGATTGCGAATACTTTTTTTTTTTTAAAAAAAAAAATCTTTCAATAACAAAACTTAACTTACTATGAGGCAATATTAGTTTAAGACCTAGTAGACTTATTCTCTAACAACCTAATCACATTTGTTCATTTGATCTTATCTGCAAAATAAAGAAATCGATTAAATTTTGTATATAAAATGTTATAATTATGGCAGTTAGTATCGTGAATTTGAAGGGAAGATATGAGAAAGGAGGGAGGGGTTCGCATGTGTAAGAAGAAAAAGGAAGAGAGTCATGAGAAATGCAAACGCACGTTGCCCTTTATCATAACCCTTTTCCTTTTTGATTATATATATATATATATATATATATATATATGTGTGTGTGTGTGTGTGTGTATGTATGTAGATACACACATAGATAATATTATATTATACATTACGATGATTGCAAGTTTAGTTAAATTTCTCTCGTTCTGCTCTCTCTCTCTCTCTCTCTCTCTAGGGCTACACACATATTTCTTGTCCTAATCCTTTAATTAATATTAGTCAGATCACACATCCATCTTATTTGGGTTTAGCCCACGAGTGTAATCATTCTGCAAATAACCACCCATCAAACTCAAATCATCTCTCCCTCTCACCTATATATATACACACACACACACACATACATATAAATATATGATATCATAAAAGATTTGGGCAACCATAGGATCGTTAAAGAGCAAAGATATGCGTTTTTTATATAATTTAATTTAATTTAATTGTCATGCAAACTAGCTAGCTGCAACTTTACAAATCTTCATGGGCCAGACGCTATAATTATATATTTATATATATGTAGAGAGAGAGAGAGAGATTAATTTAGAATTATACATATAGTTTTCACCCAAAATGAAAATTTAATTAAATTTAGTTAGTGTAAAGATCTTGTGTGCATTTGGTGATGTCAAAATATTGTATACAATTCATTGATTAGTTAATTGATGTAACTAATTATAACATAATAAAACATTAGAGGAAAGTACAAACCATTTGATATATATGTATTTAAATTAATTGCGATAATGGTGAGATTAATTGGATGTAGAAAATGCATTACATATTATTATATTGATTACGGCAATTAATGCATGTTTTACTGTATGATTATAATATAATTAATTTGAGTAAATTATCATAAAACTGCTTTTCATGTCTGTTTACCACATCCACTCCACAATTATATTGCTGATTTGCCACTGAAGTGGGTTATAAGACCACCCTACTACTTCATAGACAGCCTCCTATCATCACCCTTCTTCCTTAATTTATTTATTTATTTAATATAATTTATAAATTGCAAATATTAAATTCATTTATATATATATATATATATGTACGTACGTACGTAGTTATTAGATATATATATAAATAAATAAAATAGAATTAATTATTATCGGCCTTATAGATTATAATGGTGGGTTTAGTGATTTTGACGAAGCTTTGGGTAATTTCCATACATACAGGCGAACAGTAGCAGGCTTTATATTGCTGTTCATGAAATCGAATCTTTAATTTGATGTTTATGTATAATACTAAAAGAAAAAGTTTGGTGTTATATATACATACATACATATATAGGTAAAATAATCCAGTGTCCTAAGCTAGCCGCATTAGTTGACTGTTTATATATAATATATAAATTAAATATCCTTCCTTAAAAAGAAAATTTTATATTTATATGTCTCATTTATATTTACAGATTAATAATTTTATATTTTTTTACCACCCAATCTACTATCCTCTCCGTAGCCAACTCACCATTCCTATTCAATCAACAACTAATGATATCACAAAGTTTAGTTGTAGGGGGTTCCGTTTTAAGTTTTCTCCCATGTGAGAAAAATAATAATTCATGCTCGAGCCCAATAATAGAGTTATTATTAATATTTTTAATTAAAAAAATAACATCCAACGAATTTTAATTTTTCTGACTATCAAACTAAAAATTAATGAGTATTTAGAGAACTCATCGTTTTTTATTATGCGATTATCAAAATAATGTTGTCACTTATAAATTTTTTTTTATTTAGTTATCATTTCTCATAAATTCATTCAAGCACTTCTTATCAAAACAATGTATATATTTACCGAGTAAGTACTTATAGTTTTGTATGTGTACCTTTTATGATAATTTTTTTACTAAAAAATACAAATATCAACTATTACTTAATTTAATAATTAATACGTTCTTTTTTGACAAAAATTGAGTTATATTATATATATATATTCATTTAAAAGTGTTATTTTTGTTGTATTATATTTAATATATGCATATCAATCTTGATTGGGTGGAAGACGGTTTGTGTTAGTACATGAGTGGCTCACTTAATGTGGTCCATAGAAATGAAAAGAAAAAATTTTGAAAGAGGAAAGTAAATTAAAGAGATATGGGATGTGTAATTAATTTCCTCAAATAGTAATCGAGAAGGAGATCAAGAAAAAGTAATTTTGATGATTAAAAACATGGGAAAACATAATTACCACGCTGGCAGTCCTTACACACAAATTATTTATATATATATATATATATATATATATATATAATATACATATACTAGTGAGAATCTCTCATCAGGCGTGGCTTCCGCCTTTTATTACTCTCCTTTCTCTTTCTCTCAATTACGCTCACTCTTCTTTTCACATACACAATCATGTCTTCTCCCTCTCCCCCACACTCATTCATTTAAACTCTGCGTTTCTGGTTTCTACATGGATTTACTCACACATCTCCATCCTTCCAATCATCATACCCCTCCATCTTTCTCTTCTACTCTTCT